AGTGAGGATTAAGCAGTGAACAGATAATGGATGGATGGATCCAGTATATGTTAACATATTGCAGTGTGGGCCAAAGTGCCCAGTATACCGACAGCGAACATTTCAATTCTTAGAGCTACTGTATGTAGCTACTGTGGCCAAGGGCACAGCCACAGCCACCACAGACTCTAGTCTGACCACCCCACACAGCCAGCAATGAAGCCTGTTAGAGGGCTCCATGCATACTCAGGGAACTGACATTACAATTAGTAACTACTATTTTTCTGACAGACCTTTTTTACACAAACATTTCTCTACAGTTGTTGGTCCCCTACAGATGGATTTCAACAGCACAACCAGCCTCCATTCAACCACATACAATCAAGTATTTCTGACCAACCAGAAAATAAATACAAAAAGAGAAACTGATCACTTCCCCATGTCTATTCTATGTAGTGATATAGTTTAGATTAGCCAGTAAGAGCATGGACAAATATGGACACTTACTATCTCTCTCTGTCTCTTACACAAATTTGTGCAGAAGGCACAAAACTTTAATGTGAACAGAATTGTCTCATTGAGTCAAGCACTGTAACTTAAGAACATTATTTCCCAAAGGCAATTTATTTTCTATACATAAGCCAAAATTGAGTCGAATTAAATTGATTATGACTCATGCTCAGTCAAATTAGCATTCCATGTGCACTTTGTGTAGCTCAAGACACAGGTAGAAATGCACACAGAATGAAGGTGGAGACATTCAGTCTGTTTAGCAAGCGGTAATATAAAATATACTGTACATCTAGAGGCCATGTAGTAACATACTCTGCCCTAAAACCACAGCTGAAAGAGTCTGCTTGTTTTGCGGACTTTTCTTTTGCTGGTTGACTGACCTGCTGTGCTTAAGTCAATATTATTATAACATACCTCATTACTATGATTGTTAATTTGAAGGGTTAGTTAGAGTTGAAATCAGAAAAGCACATATTACCTCAGTTACCCCTGGGGGTGAATTTGCCATGCTGATTATTTTGGGTTTTTTTGTCCAGGCTTTGATATTCATGAGATTTCAGTATGAATACAAAAGGTGGGATGGAACTTTATTCATGGTGCTGAAAGCAGATCTGTAGTCCTGACATATTTATTCCACTATTTCTGACTTGTCTTGGTCTTGTGGGTGTTCTGACTTGTACTTGCCCAGGTCTAATGACACATCTACAACCGAATAAACCTCCTTCATGACGTAATATGAGGTTGACCTGATTTATTCAGAAAGCAAAGTGTAAAGATGAACTGATACCTAGGGACAAAAAGAAAAACAGGTGATGCTCAGTAAGTAAAATATGACACATCTGAATACAGAACACCATCCTTGGTTATTTTGTGTCTGAAGACACTGACAGCTTGACTTGAATTTTCATTCTGAACAAACTCATTAGAAACTTGTAAACATGCTTTTTGCACGTTAGAGATTATTTGATAAGATAAGATGAGATGAGACGGAACAAGAACTTGACTTAATTGGCACTGATTATTACGACTGTGAATGACAAAAAATGAACTGAGAAAGTGAGACTATTAAGATTTATCGATAACTCTCTCTTTTCTGAGTCTGAAACTCCAGTCATCTACAGAGCATGCTGCCAGCAGTTTCTATTGACACTATTATGAAAAGCCACTTTTCACGGCTGTGAGCATCTAAATTTAAAATCTCTTCACTTCATTGTATTTGTGCACTGAGGAAGAAATCTCTAAAACTTCACAACCTGGACCAGTGAAAACCAAAACTATTTGGTAAGTGAGAGAAGGTGTGATTTTTGTTTGTTTGTTTTTTTGCATGCATGCCTGGATGGATGGATGAACTGATATATTAGCACTTTAAGCTGATTAAAGTTAAAAAAAAAAAAAAAGCAAGGATGTGAATAGATTTTAAAGAGACACAGATTTTGTAGCCTCAACTCCATAGGCAGCATATCAATATATGAAGACTTTTGTTTAGGAACACCTGAAAGTCATACTGGCCCTGTGATAGACTGGCGACCTGTCCAGGGTGTCCCCTGCCTTCACCCTAAGTCAGCTGGGATGGGCTCCAGGCCCCCCACAACCCTACAGAGGATAAAGTGGTGTATATATAATGGATTGAAGGATGAAACTTATACTGCAGTTAAAACACGCTGGTGAAATGCTGGATTGCTGTGCTCATTGCTATCAATCAGCATGGCCTGTTGGCTGATAGTATTATTATTATGTAAAGATTATCTGACCTTAATGTACCAGCAGGGTTATAAATATAATGAGAAAGAATGTAGTCTTTAAAACATTTCCACATTAAGCTTTGATGCACTGGGGTATTTAACACTGTAAACTGTGTACCGCCTGAATGAATGGTATGGTATTGTGTACAAGTACTGTGATACAAATAAAACTGGGCCACGTGGTCTCCATCATGTAATAAAACTACTGACAACTGATGACTTTTTTTGACCTCACATCTTCAAATGTCCTCAGAATGAGCTTTTGTACATTTGACCCTATAGCACAGTGCTGAGCATTTAGAAATATAAAGGCAGTTTAAACTGTAGCTGTACAGTGACAAATCTGGACTTAATGGAACCAAATTGTTGAACTGTAATGCAATGTATAACCCATAATAACTCGCAACTTTACGATATAGGACCAGAGTCAGTGGTTTTTCTGGCAGAAACTATGGTCTTTTAATGTCTGTGGCATATTTTATAAGTCTGTGGTGGCCAGTGCCATTTTCCACACTGTGGTCTGCTGAGGTAAAAACCTGAGGGGGGATGAAACACAAAAAAAACTTATCAAGTACTTAGTCCTTGAGGTAGAGCTGGGCAATCTGCATGCAGTAGTGGAGAGGATATTGTCAAAACTTTTCTCCATCATGGACAACATCTAGTACTATCTCTGCAGTGCTCTTTTTTTAGGTATAAGGTTTCTTTTTTTTATCAGACAATGAGTATTTTTAAGTAGGAGCTGTTCTTACCTTGACATGTTTCAACTGTCACTTCAGTCTTCCTCAGAAAAGTTGAAACATGTCAAGGTAAAAACAGCTCCTACTTAAAAATACTCATTGTCTGATGAAAAAGAAACCTTATACGTATAATCAGAGAGGACAAAATGAACCTAGTCAAATTAGTGCTCTTGACTGGTACATTTATTCAGGGACTAATAATGACTAATGGCGTAACGCAGCAGCCAGGTGGTGGAAACTAAAATTTTGAGATTAATCAGCCTGTTAACAATCACAGTGTAAAGCTAAGATTGTTTTTGTGAGGGATGCGAGAAAACATTGATACAGATTAAAACTCTCTCTCTCTCACTCTCTTTTGCACACACACACGCACACACACACACAAAACACACACACAAAACACACACACACTCACCCCCAGCTTGCGGCTGCGCATGCGTACGTAGCCCTGCTTGATGATGTCGTTGAAGTTGGAGGCCATCTTCGGAGGGGGAGTAACCTGCTGGTTGCAGATGTGGCGATCATCCAGATGTCTCTTTCCTCCTTGAACCAGTCCCTTGCAATGCCCTTCTTCCTTTCCAAAGCTTCCTTTTTTAATCTTAACTTTGTCTCTTCTCTTTCACTAAGCACCTAAAATCCCCCCTAGCCCCCATCCTCCCCACCCTCCCCACCCACACTTGTACTACTTTTAGTGCTTCTCCTATTTCTTCCTGCACAACACTATTGGATTTGTTTCTCTCCTCCTTTGTCTCTCACTCCTTTTGTGTTTTTCCTTTGCTCTGTCCTTCGTTCTTTCACTCTTCATCAGTTGGTTCTTCACTCATCCTTCTATTTGGTATCTCTAAGAAACGGACAGACAAAGAGAGAGAGCGAGAGGGAAATAGAAATGTATATATACATGGGTCATTCCACCTGAAGTCATCATATGGCTCCCGCATTTGACGATGCAGGGTGTTCATCAAGATGGCATAATTCCATGTTTTAGGGTCATAACAGTGATAGTTTTTGCTACAAAAAAATAATTTCAAAATTCTTTTTTTTTTTTTTTTTTAGTTTTGCCAAATTTGTGATGAGACCCTAACTTTGGATGACAATATCTCAAGAAGTGTTTAAGGTACAGACTGGAAATTTGAGAATACATTTCCTCTTTACTGGAGGTATTTAAATCCCTCAATGCATAAACGCTTACATTTCTGGGCCTATAAAGAGTGGAGACTATCACTTTTCTAAACTAATCTTTAATCCTGAACATGTCAAACAGAAATGACAGAAATCGACATTTTGCCAAAATTTTAAACTTAGATCTCAAAATGCTATGTGTAGTCTTGCTTGTGGCAGCTTTGTTTGTCCATTTGAGCATACATCCAAGGAATCCATTATATGTATACTTCTGACATTACTAGCTCAATCAATACACAACCTTCTCACACTATTGTCAGCTGGGATCTGACAAAAGCTTTTAGCAAATTAGGTCATTTGTGTTAGATAACTGTCCAAACAATTAGCATATACAGTCATGGAAAAAAATTGTTAGACCACCCTTTTTTTCTTCAATTTCTTGTTAATTTTAATTCCTGGTACCACTAAAGGTATATTACCTCAAGAAGACACTAAACACGACCAAAAATGCAACTGATTACATAATACTTTATGTCCTATCTGACATGCTTCAGCTTAATTGTATTCCCAGGGTATACAAGAGGCCATTTCATGTCACTGGGCCCAGGTGGCAAAGACACTCCCTGTGATCTCACAGGAGCATCACACGTCCCCCCCTCAAAACGTGGGCAACAATTGGATTCATGAAAACACCAAATATAGCAATTAACAACAGACACACACACACACATACACAAAAACAAAACAAACATTTAGGTTGCACTTACACAGCTCATAGTACAGGACTACACTACCTGACCAGGGCACGTGAAAGAGTATCTGCAAGAATATTATCCCTGCCCTTAATATGCCTCACGTCCAAACAGTGGGACTGCAAAAACCAGGTCCACCTCATCAGCTGAC